TTGGAGCATATTTTGTATTTTTTGAAAAGACCCTGACCAGTGCAGGGAGATGGTACCTTGCAACAGCAGTTCTTGAGTGGGACATTGCAGCATCTTCCCTCATGCTGGAAAGTTTTCTCACATGAGAAAAGTTATTTAATAAGGCTCAGAGGAATACCAAATATTCATTAGAAAGACAAACTTGCTATATGGTAAGTGATCATATACATTGGAACCTAATTCCAGAATCATTGAATGAATAATAACTGAGCATCCCCCATGTGACAGAACATTCTAGGAACATTATGTATTATACTCTTTTAGATATGTCTTTACAATTTAATTATTAACTGATGTTGATATCATTAAATTATTGCCATTTTATAGATTGTTTCTATTAAAAAAAATTTCCTCTGATGATAATGAGGAAACAGTATTGAGTGTACAGCTGCTTCAGAGTATATTTACTATTATTTGAGCAACCAGAGCTGTCAAATATTCCTCATTTGCTATAACCAAATTTTTGGTAATAAAAAATAGGGTTTTGTCCTTCGTTATATTACATGTGAAGGGCAAAGGCGACTTCCCCGGTGCTTTGCGGTGAATGGTATGTCCCTTAATGAACAGCAGGAGTCACATCCTGAGGCGGCTGAGGTCATGATAAGAAAGTAATAAATCTCATTACTGCCCCGTCGGCATGGCTCGGTGGTTGAGCGTCAGCCTATGAACCAGGAGGTCATGGTTCGATGCCCGGTCAGGATCCAGGAAGTCGAATAGGGAAGTCGCTTCACACGTTGTCCGTGCTAACAATCTAAATGCTTTCCAATATTTTTATCTTAAGCCCATTCGGGTTGAGAAGCATTGGGCTGCAGTTCAGCTTCTAGTATATTGTTTCCTTTATTTAGAAACGGTAAGTCTGACCTCTTAGGCAGGAAGCTGTACTTCCATAGGATGTGGGGGTGGGCGGTATTGAGAATTACCCAAATGGTGACGGGAGGAGGCTTACCTCTGGGTGGTGAACACACAATGCAGTACACAGATGGTGTAAACGATTGTGCACCGGAAACCTATATCATTTTATTAACCAATGTCACCCCAATAAACTCAACAAAAATTTTAAAGAAGAAAAAGAATTACCTAGCAGTGAACTCATGCGTAAACAGTACATACTTCTATTTGGATTTATTTGGGGAGATTCCCAAGGGCTTGTCACAGAAATTCTCAAGTTTAAATTCAGTCTTGGTGATTGACAGTGAAAGTGGAGTAGGTCTTATTCAAAGATGTGTGTGACTTACAGTCTCCTGCAGTTGTGGTCATTCTGGGGTTTTTTCGATTACCTCTAAATTCCGTGACTCTGACTCATTAAAAAAAAATTAGAATGGAAATTTTAATTAATGGAACTACTGTACCTCTTTAAGATAATAGTGGCTATTTTTAGACTGACTTAAAAAGAAATGAGAAATAGTGATGCTTTAACCTTCGTGTAGCATATACTAGTACATGAGGAGGTGCATTTTCTAAAACATCTAGTTAGTAATTGGTTCAGATAATTTTTGAAAATACTATTGAAGATAGTTCTAAAAATATATCTGTTATAATTAGTAACTGATTGAGCTGGCTCTTTCCATCGTAAAATAAACACAACAGCTTACAAAACAAAAAAAGATTTTCCATATTAAACTTGGTCAGAACAATGGCACATTCCTCAGCTCGGGATTTAAAAGTGAGGATTAATTCAAAGCAGATGGGTGCGGGGATGGAGGCTAAGACAGCCCCGCCTCCCTGCTGTGACCTTGAAGAATTGAATGTACAACAAGGTTTTGCTTCCTTTAAGTGCTTCTCTGTCCTTTCAGTGGGCGAGAGGGAGGCTGTAGAAATGCATGGACGTGTGCCATCTCTGTCCAAGCTTTGGCACTCAAGAAAAGCTCCCAGGGAAACTCGCTTCTGGAACATCCCCAGATGAGCCTTTTCTTCTGCTCAGCTGATACATGTGGCTGCTTATTCCGGTCGCTTCCACAGCTCACACTAGTGGTCCCTAGTTATATGAAAGGGCATCAGGAAACTATTATGAGTTAATATGCTTACAAAGGCCATCAGATAGCCAAGGCGAAGACATCGCTGGAGATTCTGGGGAGGGAGGAGGAAGCGGATCACAGCCACTTCCTCCCACATGGTGCTGTGGGGCCTCCACAGGGCTCGCCCCCAGATCTCATCAGAAAAATATTCCAAGGCTGGCATGATGGACTTGTCCTGAGGACACGCTCATGTGGTGTGTGTGTGTGTGTGTGTGTGTGTGTGTATACATGCGTAAATACATACATACATATATGTATATATATAGGGTGTCCCCCAAAAAATGTATACACACTTTCACAGCTAGTAGCTGTTAAATGAAAATGAAATGCATTTTAATAAACGTAACTTATAACTATATTCTAAGTTTGCATGCATTTTGGGGGGGACACCCTGTATATAATAATGACGTACTGATCTCTGCTTCAGAACGAAGCTGTTTCTAAAATTCACCGAGGTAGAATCATTTCTCCAAAACTAACACAGGGACTGTCCATCTTCTTGCTTGTTATTCTTGTTTACAGAAGTGGTGAGCCCTCCCTTGCCCCTGGGGTTTTTGTGTCTTTTTCTGAGGAAGGTTTGTGAATGAAATAGAGAATTTTTTAGACATTTGAGGCCTGGAAATTCCCTTGTGTTTTTTCATATTTGCAACCAAGTGATGAAGGTAAAGTCTAGGTAATTGAAAGAGTTAAGAGGACTTCACGTTGGTGGCCTGAGAGGGACAGATGGAGTGCGCGTAGGTGGGGAAGCGATTTAGCGGAGGAGGGCGTAGGGTTGTCAGGGTAGCTGGGCACTTAGCGTGTTGGGGACGGATTCTGTGTTTACTGAGATGCAATAGAAGCGGAAGCCAAGCGCAGCATATGGTCAGGACGGGACAGGATGGGTGGCAGGAAGAGTGGCAGCTGAAATACCCAAGGGGAGATGAGAAATGATATGGTGGTTTTGAGGTACCTGAAGCCTCAAGAAACTGAGACACGTCGGGCAACAAGGAAACTCGTTTGGCTCTGCTGATGCTGTTACCTGGTTTGGGAAGTGTGTCTGTATGCATGGGGAAGGAAATAAAGGAAGCCTCTCCCAGCGACCACCTTGGGCCTTGACCAGTGCGCCTATGAGTCAGTGAGTCAGGAATGAGAATCAGGTGAAGCTCTCACGTCACAGGCAGGAAACCAGCAAAACCCTGCGATGCTACAAACCAGCGGAGATGTTATCAACGACCAGCCAGGAGGGGATGAACAACCCCCACGTGTGTGCTTCGGGTTTACATTTGAACGTTCCTGTTCTTTCTTTTTCTTTTTTTTCTTTCTTTCTCCCCCCCCCCGCCCCCCAACTATTAGGTTCATAAAACAAGGCAAAAAACAAACAAACAAAAAGTTGCCTTGGTTATGTGGGAACAAGCCCTTTTCCTGTGGTGGTGTTGGCTCAGTGTGGCAGGCTTGCCAGGTCAGCTGCCAGCCAAGCCTTCTCTTCCTCTGGCAGCGGGTGGGTG